TTTCCTCTTGATCACAGGATTGAATAGGTACTTAAAGTAATAGACACTTTATAAATTAACTTCTAAGGGATATTTTGAAAATTAAATTATAGTTGGAGGAAAGCAATCAATTAGCAATCGATACATACCCAATAGTCATGCATATAAGATGAAAAGGCAATTCGTTAATAAAACAAAAAGCCAGACATAAGAAAAGCTTATCAATCTTGCTAATCATCAGAGATATGCAAATGTAAGTGATACTTTTTAAAAATTCTAAATCTCAAGTGTGGCAAGGACGCTGGGCAAAGGAGCATTCAAATTGGTACAAACTTCCAGGGCAGCTTGACAAAACGAATCAAGATACTAAGGTCTGGGAGCAAATCACTTGATTCAGCAATTCCACTTCCACAAAACAAAACTATAGTAGTGTCACGGATGGGTACAAACCTTTAATTACAAAATGCGCTTCTCCATTCCATAGCTATTAAAAAGCTGGAATCCACCCAAATGTACCATACTGGGAGAAGGGCGGGAACCACATAATGGAATACTATGCAGCCATTTCAGATGTAGAGTATTTAGCAACACAGAAAGACACTCACAATTTATAGCCAAATGGAAAAATCACAAAAGCAGGGAAAACATGCTTAGAATCATATTTGCTAGTTATTAATAGTACACTTCTAATTGGTAAGAATTTGGGGGTTTTTAAATCTTTCATTCTTATTTTATCTTCATTTTCTAAATTTTCCATAATACATGTTAATCACAAGAATCTTTAAAATAATTATTACATTAAATGAGAAGGCCTATCCAGCTAATCTAGCTTAACACCTGGCATATATAAGAGCTTGACAAATGCTACCTCCCGTTCCCCAAGATTTATTCTTCAATGCTTATTTTGCAATCATAACACCAAAGGGGTTTTGGTAAAGAAAGTTTCATTTAAAAAAAAAAATTTTTTTTTTTTTTTTTTTAGAGATGGGGGTCTTGCTATGTTGCCCAGTCTGGTCTCGAACTCCTAAGCTCAAGCAATCCTCCTGCCTCAGCCTCCCAAAAGGCTGGGTTTACAGGCATGAGCTACCATGCCCGCCCTAAGCTTCAGCTTCCGAATCCAGGATCAACATGGAGTCCAGAAAATACATCAGCCGTGGCCCTCCCGGCAGATGCCACTCCCAACACTTGGCCGCGCACAAAGGGAGCCTTCATAGGTTTAAATAAAGTAGTTGATTCCAAACCCAAAATTAACAAAAGTGAATAAGCTGCTCAGAAACAGCTCGTTCAGGACTGTGTGCTGTTATTCCTCCCAACAAGATGGTGGCATGTACAGAGGAAGGGGCCCCAGGCACGGAATCAATTACCCTCTGCTCTATCCTGCAGCACCCACTCCACAAAATGCTGTATGACCTCAGGTACGTCACCTCGCCTCTTTGCACTTTCCTTTTGGCACCATCACAAGACAGCTGTAAGCACTGTGGTGAGAATTAAATATGACAAGAAGGAAATCTCCATACATTTTAGAGCACTATCGATATATTCTAATTAATAAATATTAATCTGTAACAATTAAATACATTTTAGAGGTAAGTGTAGAAACGAAAAGCATTGTATTAGCTATAACTTCAGTTTCTGTACAACTGAAGAAATCTGACTCTGATTTTGTTCCTCTTTATATGAAATAAACTTTATACAAAAGGCTTAGCTCCGTTCATCTGGTTTGTTACCCTCCGCCTAGGAAGAAATAGTAGCAACACCGAAATATGGGTTTCCTCCCTGCCCGCCATCTCTCTGTCTTTCGTTCCCGCACACCATCTCAGACATCCTCTTAGAGTGTAGTGAAGAAACCTTGTTTTGCTTTCAGAGAGCACCATCTAAATATGGCTTCTAACATGAAGGCTCCAAAATTCACAGAAAGTAAAACCACCAAGCAACACAGCCTGGTAAGCAAATAACTCAAAGACTTAGAACAAGTAGACTGAAACCCTGTCGCACCACACAACCCTTCCTACGTACCCCATTTCGTAAGGTGTAGACCAACACCAGCACTTCATGAAATGTACTGTTACTTAGGAAGCCAAAGGGAGATCACAAATGTAGGCAAGAAACTAAATTCGGGCAAGAAACTAAACACCAGCTATTAGAACTTGCTTTGTGATCCGTCTACTGGTGCCTTTTTAAGAGATCTTTCCAAGAAGGCCTCCTAGTGACCCAAATGTCATTTTGGAGAAGGCTGAGGATTCATATCTGCTCACGGATAGGTTACAGAAGTCCAAGAAGGGCTACGTCATACCAAATAGGCAACAATGCGGGGGGGGGGGGGGTTCCACCGTCGGCATCTCATTTATTATGAAGTCTATAATAACTCCCAGAATAGCCATCTAGTTTTAACAATTTATTTGATAAACAAATACATTTGTATATAGACAACCAAAACATCTTGACTCTGGTGAAACAGTTTGGCAATGTTACAAGTATATTTGCAATGTTTTTCAGCTCTCGCATTTTTGAAAAAATTGCTGAGAAAAAAATTTATAAATAAAAGTATATAATATAGCATATTCGTTTTTGTCCCCGTTTAAAGATTTGAAAATAAGCAGTTTTGTAAACCCAAAGTGTATTCTTTTCCGGGCCAAAGTTCTATTCTACAGCTGAAGTATGCGATTAATGGGCTGCCTCAAACCGTAATTATAGAGCCAAAATAAAAATTACCCTCCTTAAGACTGCACACAGAGAACACTGGCTATCGGCTTCACGTTGAGTAGCTAGTTTAATATGGTCCCTCTTATTTAAAAAACATATGCTGTACTGAGCCCAAAAGGACATGTTTTCTTCTAGAGCAAGAATGTATCACTAAAAAACAATTTAATTACAATAAATTATGTAACACTGGTTAAGACCGGGGGCAGGGGCAAGGGAAACTATATTCTTTAGAAAAAGCATAGGGTAAAGGGTGCGGTGGCTCACAACTGTAATCCCAGCACTGTGGGAGGCCAAGGCAGGTGGATCACGAGGTCAGGAGTTCAAGATCAGCCTGGCCAAGATGGTGAAACTGTCTCTATTAAAAATACAAAAATTAGCCAGGCATGGTTGTGGACTCCCGTAATCCCAGCTACTCGGGAGGCTGAGGCAGAGAACTTCTTGACCCCTGGAGGCAGAGGTTGCAGTGAGCCACGATCGTGCCACTGCACTCCAGCCTGGGCAACACAGCAAGACTCCATCCCAAAAAAAAAAAAAAAAAAAGGAAAAAACATAAGGTCACCAAGGCATTGAAAATGAACCTTAAACAGAGGTATTAATATGTAAATATTACAATTTCCACTTAGGAAAAAAAAATCATATTATTGCTAGGCCAGCACACTCAAAACCAATAATATCAGGAAAACACATGCCCTTGTGTGATGTGGCAGAATGGCAGAACAGCCCGCTCCCTGAATACAATGGCCCTTTTTATTAAGGTGATCCCTTCATCCCTGGCATTTTATACAAACAAAACAAAAGGCAGAGGAAAAGAAACAAACATGACACTAGTAAGAGTCTTCAGTTTGAACTCTATCACAGAGAAGTATAAGACCTCAAAGACATGTTAGAAAAGTAAAAGACGTTATTTAACAAAAATGAAAGCAAGATGGACTGGAAGGAAGAAAACTATATTGCGATGCTGCTGCTTTTGTTTAATTATATCAAAGGGCAACAGAGCCCTCTAGTGGAAAAAAAATAAAAATACATAAAGACGTTTCTGCTCTTAAAGAAAATAGGTAGAATACCACCAGGCATGGTGGCTAATGTCTTTTATCCCAGTACTTTGGGAAGCCGAGGTGGGCAAACCACTTGAGGTCAGGAGTTCAAGACCAGCTTGGCCATCATGGCGAAACCCCACCTCTACTAAAAATACAAAAATTAGCAAAATTAGCCAGGCAGGGTGGCTCACGCCTATAATCCCAGCTATTCAGAAGGCTGAGGCGGAAGAATTACTTGAACCCGGGAGGCAGAGGTTGCGGTGAGCTGAGATCATGCCACTGCACTACAGCCTGGGTGACAGAGTGAGACACCATCTCAAAAAATAAAAGACACTACGCAGAATACTGTCTTCCATTACAATTCTTACTGTGTCACTATATGATATAAAAGCAAAAGATCAAATTAATTGGGTTTTAAGTAAAACAAGTTCCAAATTTTCAAGCTTGATGTAACACTACAAGACCTCAAGTAAAACAAAAATCTCTTATTAGTTTTTAAATTATGAGTCTGAACCACTTTGTCATTGAACAATGGTTTGTATGACCCTCATTTGTTATGCTGACACTACAAAAAAGCAATTAAACTCTAAACCTACAAGCAAGCATGAAATTTAACTGATGACCTCATGTGACAAAAAAAGTTTCAGATGAGATCTCATCAGGTTCACACAGACAGTAGCCCCCCTTATCCTCGGGAGAGGCGTTCTAAGACCCACAGTGATGCCTGAAAAACTGGATAGTGCCAAACCCTATGTATTCTACATTTTCACCTATGCATACGTACCTAGGATAAATTTATAAATGAGGCACAGTAAGAGATCAACAATAATAAGAGAACAACTATAACGACGTACTGTATAAAAGTTTTATAAATGTGGTCTCTCACACATACTCTCTCTCTCGAAATTAGTGTTTTCAGGTGCCTGTTGACCTCAGGTAACTGAAACCTCAAAAAGTGAAACAGCGTCCTGGCACACTGGTTCACACCTGTAATCCTAACATTTTGGGAGACTGAGGCAGGCATATCGCCTGGGCTCAGGAGTTCGAGACCAGCCTGGGCAACATGGTGAAACCCTGTCTCTATTAAAAACATCAAATTGGCTCGGCGTGGTGGTGCGCACCTGTAATCCCAGCTACTCGGGAGGCTGAGACATGAGAATCACTGGGACCTGGGAGGCAGCAGATGCACTGAGCTGAGATTGCACCACTGTACTCCAGCCTGCGTGACAGAGCAGGACTCTCTCAAAAAAAAAAAGTCAAAGACCATGGATAAGGGGGCACTACTGTATACGTGATTACAAATCTATTTTTAAAATGTATGTATACAGATACACACCCCTATCCAAAGTACTTTACATGAGATTACCAAATTATGAGATGAAGGTCATTTGAATGTTTTAAACTGGTATCTTCCTTGAGATACTTGTTTCTCAAATACTTTGACCATGTGATTTCCATGTACATTCAATGTCCAATAATATTTCAGTGTAAAATGGTTAAGTCATAAGGTACTAATTCTCAATTTTTATATAATTATCAGCTAAGGACTCTTTCTAATATTGTCAATAAATCTCCATAGTTTCTTAGAAAAAGTAACTTCCAAATAATTTTACTTATAATACCTGGATATAATTTAGCATAAGAGAATAGCAGACACAAATGTTTTTAATTCAAAATGGAGTTTCAATGCCCAAAAGGTTACTTCGATTATTTCAGAATATTTTCCTTTCCTTAATGAGCACCAGGTTCTTAAAAAGATAAATGCCAAGATCCCACCAGTTTGTCTTGTCAACAATCAGAAAGGAAACTAATCATGCATTTCAAGATCCTAAGTGTAATGATTTCATATGAGTATGTTTTACCCAAGAAAATGACTAAATCTGAGTTAGCTATGGCCTCAGATTTATGGGACCTTTCGGAATAAGTGGGGGAAAAAAAAAAAACATCAACAGCATGGTTTAGGCTCAAAGGCAAAATTTAGTAACATCTAGGTACGAAAAAGAAAACAAAGAACCAAAGGAGTAAAGGAAGCCGGTGTACTCCATAAATGGGAAGTGTGGATTTAAAGTCTTAGGAATGAACACCCTTCTCTACATGAAGAAAAAGTAATGTTCTTGTATTAGTGTAGAATGGGTCGAACTTGCAGCAGATAGGAGGTCATCACGGTGATGATTTGCAGGATCAAAGAGTATGGCAAGTCCAGTTCACACTGTAATTTCAACACATGATTTAGAAACAGGACCCCAAGTTTTAAAAAGTAGGCTCTCTAAGCTAAGACCATCAATTTCAACATCACGCCATGATAACACTTTGGGATTCCCTGCATGAAATTTGATACCTTCATTTTGTTTCAAGGAAAACAAATTTAGGAGTGACTGATACCTTGAGCACGTACTTTTTATACCTCAAAATATATACATTTTGATATAAAAGTGTGTGTGTGTGTGTGTGTGTGTGTATCTCCATGTAATAAACCTTAGAGAGGTGATTTTGTGACATAAATACCAATAGAAAATTCAAGTGTCAGTCCCAAAATACATTTCACTGGTATCTACCAATGTGGCCAGCTTATATATGTTCACAAGAAGAAAAGTTTTATTTCTGTTAATGGGTCCTTTGGCTCAAAAACTGAAACCAAGTGAGGTTATTCTAGCTTTGAAGTCACAACATATGATGCAGCCCAGCGTTCTAAAGGTTCACAAAGTGAAAGAAACTTTTCATCTGGACCAAATTCTGGAAAAAACTTTTAAAATCAAGTTTTAGCCACTACTGTATTAGGAATGAAAGTTAAGAAGTTTTATTATCATTACCACTGAAGATTAGACTGAAAATATCGAATCTGTTCATACTTGTTAACAGCGTCTGGGCACGGTGGCTCACACCAGTAATCTCGGTACTTTGGGAGGCTGAGGTGGGAGGATTACTTGAGCCCAGGAGTTCAAGAACAACCCCGGGCAACATCGTGAGACCCCATCTCAAATATTTAAAAAAAAAAAAAAAAAGAATTTTAATGGATGTCTGACAAAACCCTGGATGTCACTCCTTAGATATGACACTAAATCTGTCTGCTTACAGAAAATAATTTGCATGAGCTCTAACAAACATCTAGCTAATTAAGACAGTGAACAGAGTAGGTGGTCCCGCATTTAGGCATCCAGCTAATCCCTCATTAGAAGGATCCTGCCTTTGATGACCAACATGACAGCCTGCAGGTAGCAGGGGGCAGCAGTTTATACTCAAGTATTTACATGCACAGCCAAATCAGTTGACTGATAGGCTGAGTCTAAAAACGAAGCAGGGGTCTTCCTCAATGGGAAATTCCCTCACCTAAAAAAAAAAAAAAAAAAAAAAAAAATTCCCTTTCCTAACGCTTCGCAACACTTGCATGTAATGATCACCGTGCTGAAGGCATTTCCGATCGTTTTTACCAAATCACAGCCATCAAGCTGCTAACTCCAAAGAGCCGTAAAACACCTGGCCCTTCCTGCTCAGTCTACGTTGAACACAAACAGAAATGAATTCCTCCCTTGTCTCTACTGGTTAGCATTCAGGACTGCGGGGTTCCGGGCCTCTTGATGTGCTAGCAGAAGCTTTGGGTGAAGAGATGACTTCCCCCTGGATACTGAGATGCTGATCTCCACAGAGAGGGGTCCACAAGCTACAGTTTTCAATCTACAAAGTTCTTCAGGTTCAGAAAGCTGGTTAAACAAAGGTCAAGGAGAGAAGAGTGTTAGTGTCTGAGGAGGCAACATTCTAATCCTTGCAGCTCCCTAAAAAAAACGGGGGGGGCGGGGTTGAGACAAAGGGCACAGGGGTTAAAGGACACTGGTGCAACAATTCCACACAATGCGTTGCCAAATCTTACTGTGGCCTGGGGCATCCCATTTGCCTAAATTTCATCTAAGCTGTGGCTAATTTAGAGAATGTTGGGGTGATATCACTTTGAATGAACTGGCTTATCTAATGCAGGAGTCAGCACTTTTTTTTCTGGAAAAGGCCAAAGAGTAAATATTTACGGTTTTGCGAGCTATATGATCTCCACCAAAATTGGTCAACTCTTCTGGTAACATGCAGACAGGCGTGTTATTTTGGAATAACGGAATACACACATACAGCAGTTCCCCATTATAGAAATGGGAATAAATGGGCATGGCTGTGTTCCAAAAACAATTCTACTTACAAAATCAGGCAGTGGGTCAGAGTTAGCCCAGAGATCGTAGCTTGTTCACCCCCAATCTAGACAGCTGAATCCAGTTGATAGTGGTAATATCTGCCTATAAACCTTAAGTGTAAAAGCAAGGATTTCATGAACCCATAGTGCTTTATTCTGACATTTCCTCCAAATCCTTTTATCGGTCAGAATCACTGATTTTTTTAGATGAATTAAGAATCTCTCCAGTTGCCTTAGCAGAATCAATTATCAAAAACTCAAAATACAGCTCCGTTTCACTAGCAGCCAGGGAGAGGAAAATTATGACAAGATGGAGTTTGCTTAGAGCCCACTTCAAAGGGGGCATGGCACTAGTGCAACCCTGAAGAATGATGTCAAGCAAGGGATGCCCCCTTCCATATCAGTGAGATCCCCACCAATCGCTATTCCAACAAAGCAGTGCCTTGTGGGGCATTTAAAAAAAAAAAAAAAAAAAAAAAGAACCACTGGAAACGCTATTTGTAAATCGGCCTTTATAAGGCAAATTAGGCTTCTATGTTTTTATTTGTGGAGGCACCACTTTCAAAATAAATCCGGTTATGTTTTGTTTCAGCCCACTCTGCCTTAGAGAAAATGGACATTCACAAGGTTAAAGATTCCACAGTTTATCCAAAGCAAATAGGCTGCCTTGAGTGGCCAAAGGAAAGGGAACACCAGCACCATGAAAGCTTCGACAGAAGATGACTCTTGAATGCCCCAGGAATCTTGGAAATAAAGATGCCCAAATTCACTCACTCGGCATTCAGCTATTTTATTTGAAATGAGCAGAACTAAAGTAGTGATAGCAATTTATAAATTGGCATGTTTCACAGCTTAGTAGAAGGACTTTATCTGGAAGCCACAGCCTACCTGGGCAAGGACACTTTCTAAGGCAGCCACTCAGGATATAAAAGCTAACTTAGCAAAGCCATGTGCCTATCTTCAGCCTCCTTTCTTCAGGCCTGATACCACTGCTGCAGAGTCAAAGTGATTTGTGAGTTTTTGATTGCCTGGATTTGCAGTACAATGTTATTTCAAAACTTCAGAAAGAAAATCTTCGGCACTCACCTAGACTTATGCTTCCCAAGAGTGGAGGGGGATGGGGTGAGGTGGCGGTGTTAAAGGCCATTTCTGAGGAAGGTGACCGCTGGGGAAAGAGCTGTGGGCACTTGAATGGGAAAGGCTGGTCTCCCTAAGACCTTGCGTGACATCTGTGCCGTCCTGAGCATTACAATTTGCCAAGAGCTCCAATGGGACTGCAGACCCCTCCTGCAGTGTCCGCAAAATGAATGATGAGTATCAGGAAGGAAGAGTCTTAGGGGGAAGTGGGAGCTGCAAAGAGGCACAGAGAGTTTTTGGCTTTACTCCAAGATGCAAGGGCCATTCTCAACAACCACAAATTTATTCTCAATGCTTCAGAATCTCCTCCTCTCCATCACGACTTCAATATCTAACTAGACATCACCCTTTTCATATGCTGAACCAATTCTACCAGTCCTGGATTACCATGTTGTGGGTCTGCTGTTGCAAATCTTTGAAAGAGCATGAGCTCTCTTTAAGGGTGTGCTGTCAAATGTCAGGTGGAGCAGTCTGAACACTTAACACAAAAAAACAATCAGCAGTCACATACCTTAATCATTAGGGAAAAACAGTCTAGCTGGAAGATTAAGAGAATAAGATCTTTTAATCTTCTGGTTAACTCGTTAAATTTTTAAAAATATTTTTTTAAGCCCTTAAATCCTTTTTTCTTAATAATTCCACAACTGTGTGGCCCCACACATTCACCCTAACAGTAGTTAATATGATCAACACCATGTACTGCTTCCACTGTTTTTACTATTACACCATCAGTTTTCACTTCAATGACAATAACATAAAACTCACTCCAATGCAGAAGTTCAGTCAAGTGGATTGAACATATTTGGAGCCCAGGATGAGGTATGAGATTTCATTTTAAATAAATCTCTTTCAATTCTTAAAACACATTCCAATTTGCCTATTTACCTTCATAGGCAAGTACAGTCAAAAATTCTGCACTCGGATTGCAACCTGTTAGATTCTAGACCTTGTACAAGACAATAACTGATCCCTGAACAATGTATTTTTACCTCCTGTGCTTCCCTAATCATGCTAGACAATATTTCTGTAGCTTCAAGGAACTGTTCCAAATTAAGAAAGAAGTGGAGATGGTTAATAGGCACAAAAAAAATCGAAAGAATAAGACCTACTATTTGATAGCACAACAAGATGACTATAGTCAATAACTTAATTGTACATTTTAAAAGAGCTAAAAGAGTATAAATGAATTGTTTATAACTCAAAGGATAAATTCTTGAGGGGATGGACGGATACCACACTCACTAGGATGTAATTATTTCACATTACGTGCCTGTATCAAAACATTTCATGAACCCCATAAATATGTACACCTTTATGTACACCATAAGGACAGAGAGAACTTGACAGAAGACAGCCCAACGCAATGTTTTATCTGTCGGCAAATCCAAAGATGCATACATGTATTCGAAGCGGCTGGTTCTCACTGATTCAGATATTTATATAAATAGACCAAAGCAAAATAAGAATAAATCCTAGAAGAGTTATGGTTTGCTTCTGCCTTGCTCCTGTTTCCTTACCAGCCCACCATTGGAGCAAGGACACCCTCTCAAGCCATCTACCATGATGGTCCCTGTGGGTAAACAACGGCAATTAAGAGGGTTAATTTAGAAGTGAAGACAGGAACTCATTCTCCGATTTTATAAGGAAATAAGAGCCTGTGCCCAAAAGAAAATGATATGCTCAGTGACCAGTCAAAACCTGTAGTATCCTTTGTTCCCAAGTCATAATACCCTATTGTTCCCCATATTCTATTACCAACCAATTTTGGTTTGAATAACCCAGGTAATTGAAATATGTCCACACACCAGGCAGACCAGGTCAAAAACTCTTAGACGGAGCCTGTTTTCTCTTCTCCCTGAATACCAAAAGAGCCGCAGTCTTTTGCCGAGCATTCAGCTTTCAGAGACTTCAAGGTCAGCCCCTACAGAGCCTTCCATGACAACATTAGGATTTCGAGAAAGTGGTGATTTTAATGAAATGACAGCTGAAAAGGATAAGATCCAAGTTTAAATCAGAGAACCACTATACAAAATTCCGTTATAGTTAGATTTAAGTGGATATCATTATAGCAGTCCCACAAATAAACAAATAAATTAACTGCCTACCTATTCCCGAATTAGCTCCAGTGACCACGACCACTTTGCCAGTGAAATCCCGGCCCTGGAGAATTTCCATGGCAGTGGTGCTGCCGTCATATCTCTGCCGGGTGGCTGGCTTTGTCGGATTATCATCCACAGTAAACGCCAGTCTTGGGTCCAAGTAGGTAGTCCTTTTATTTATGTGGCTGCCCAGGAAAGGAGAAAGTAATGAACTCACGGCAACGAACGCTGGCATTTATAAATATAAGATAATCTTACGGTTAAGGCAAAAACCCCATTTTTCATGTACCAAAACGCTTATTTCTTAAACCTGAAAAGAACTGGGGCCCATTTAATCTTTCTGGCCTCCAGAAGGATTACATTTCTGCCAGGAAAGATAGTCATCGAACCCTTTCCTCCAAAACTGCCTATAAAATATGCTGTAACATATAATAACTATTGCCGTGTATCCTTAGATCTCAAAAAAGGCTTCTTGAGAAGGCTTTGGGTCTTAATCTAATTCATGTAAACATAGCTATGACATCTGTCAGCGACTCTTTTCAGTAGACTTCAATTAAATCTCTTAGCCCTATACAAGGACGTAAAGACGTAGGGAAGTAGAAAACTCAAAATGATAAAGCCTTAGTTGTAAATAAGAAATTGCCGACTAATAAAATGCTAACAATCTTCACTTTAAGACTGTACTCAAACCTCCTACAAGCACTCTCGTTTTGATTTGGAATTGATTTAAATCTTGTGGAAACAGTATTAAAATATATTGGATGCTGGGCACAGTGGCTCACACCTGTAATCGCAGCAATTTGGGAGGCCAAGGCAACAGGATCACTTGAGCCCAGGAGTTCAAGACCAGCCTGGACAACATAGTTAGGCCTCGTCTCTAGAAAAACCAAGCAACATTTCGATGTGACAGCACACGCCTACGGTCCCAGCTACTCGGGAGGCTGAGGTGGGAGGATGATCACATGAGCCCAAGAAGGGGAAGCTGCAGTGAGCTATGACTGTGCCACTGTCCTCTAGCCTGGGTAGATACTGGAATTTCTTCTAAAGACAGAATCAGAGAGGTGAAAAAGTCTTACAGATAAGGATGCTCAATACATCATTTATAATTATAGGTTCTCAGTAGGAATTTAACATCATCGATGTCCAATAGGCAATCTGATAAATTATAGTATATCTGTACAAAATAATTCTAGAGCCGCTAAATAGCGTCTATTTGAAAAACAGATACGTATATGACAAAATGCTCACTATACAGTATGTGGAAAAAGCAGGTTGTTAAACAGTATACACAGTACATTCCCTACTTTTTTTTTAAGGATGCATGTGCATAGAAAATAGAAGAATAAATCCAGAGTTGTTAAAAGTAGTTACTTCTGCTAAGATTACAGGTATATACCATTATACTTTGTATTATTCTACAGTTATTGTATTACTTTTATAATTAAAAATTTCTATTAAAAAGCAGAACAGCTGAGAGCGGTTTCTTCGTATAAACTTACTCAACAAAAAACACTTGTCCATTCTCATCAGTCTCTTGTTCCCATCCATATGGCAAATCTGAAACACAAGAAAGACAGGTTGACAGGTGCCAGGGCAAAGTGAAGATGGTCTCCAGGTCAGGAAGGGGAGGAGCTCTCCCGGCCCCTCCCCCAAGCCTGTCCCTCCCACCCACCAGTTGTCACTTCAACTGGATTTGGTCACATGTTCCAACTGTGGCAACTGCAGAAGGCCCCTGATCCCACTTGGGCTCCACATTTCCGCCTCTTGCTTTGAAGAAAACCTATTTTATTCCTGATCACTAGGAACCTTACTGGTTGTGCCAATCAATGGGAATTCTCCCTTGAATGAGCTCACAGAATGTATCTATATGTAAAGCAGGCACCCAATGTCATTCATACACTGACTTGTGATGCCTTGTACGGTATTAGAGGGCAGTGTCATTTTTTTTCATGTGCACAGATTAACTCTTCAATTACACCCTAAACCTATTAAGGACTCAAACCTTCTCATACTTTTTTTTTTTTTGAGACGGGGTCGCACTATGTTGTCCAAGCTCATCTCAAATTCCTCGGCGCAGGTGATCCTCCCACCTGTGCTGCCCAAAGTCCTGGGATCATAGGCACAAGCCACCATGCCTGGCCCCTTCTTATACTTCTACTCTGTGCGTCACACCCTACCTCAGAATCACCTAGAAGTCATGATCATCTTTACAAAATTCCCAAAATATTTATATATTTACTTCCAAGGTATAGCCAAGAGCAATATACAGGTATTGATCGACTTACGACCTTTGCAACTCACGACCATTCGACTTTACGACTACAATCGCTAGCCATGACTGCTCCACGTCTGGCAGCACAAACGTTGCCCAGCTGGGCATACGACAGTGCGGACCAGCTTCTGGCAGCACTACCATCTCTGCGTGCATACAGCCTACTCAACTTATGACCAAATCGTGTTACGACCGGTCTGTCGGAGCCAATCGTGGTCGTTAAGTCGAGCACTAGCTGTATAAGCAACCGCAACTATAGGAAAACATCATAAACTGTGACTCAAAGGCCTCAATTATTTTGATACTTTGTGTTTTTTGTTGTTGTTGTTGCTATTTTTGAGACTGCATCTGGCTGTCGCCCAGGCTGAAGTGCAGTGGCGTGATCTTGGCTCACTGCAACCTCCACCTCCTGGGTTCAAGCACTTCTCGTGCCTCAGCCTCCAAAGTAGGTGGAATTATAGGCACGCACCCCCACGCCTGGCTAATTTTCATATTCTCAGAAGAGACGAGGTTTCAACATGTTGGCCAGGCTGGTCTCGAATTCCTGACCTCAAGCGATCTGCCCGCCTCGGCCTCCCAATGCGGCGGGATTACAGGCATGAGCCACCGTGTCCGGCCATTTTGATACTTTAACACCAGTAACAAATCATCCTCAGTCTATGCTACGATCTCATCATCGTCTTCTGCCAAATCAGGTAAGCTCCTCAGAGTAAGAGTCTGGTTCTCTACCAGAGAGCCCTCCCAAACAGACACAATAACCAGTCACCTCTCTGCCTGTGACATTTTCCCCATCTACTTAATGCTTTAATCCAATATCCTTTGACAGTAACATACAAACCTCCTGCCACTCGTTTTCTTTTTCCAGTTTTTGGATGTTCCCACTGAGTCTTCTCCTCGGTGTGACTGTTAAGAAAAAAAAAAAAAAATCCACAGTAGTAAGTAAAAATTAACTCTTCCAGAAAGTCAATGGTATTAAAATTTTTCTCTCCCAGCTAATACTCTCTCTCAAGAAGAGTAAAAACAGACATTCAGAGAAGGAATGTGCAGAATACAAATGTCACTGTTTGCATCAGGTCAAATTCCCCAAGTTGAAAGCAGCAGCAGTCCCGGAGAAACTCCCAACAGCCTGCCTTTAGAAGCCAGGTGGAAGGAGGAAGTGCGGGAAAGAGGAAAAGGAGGACTGCGATCCCAGCTACGGGGTCTTTAGGAAGCTGGCTGAATCACTCCAAATATCTAAGGGCATTTTGCTTTGTATTTGTTTTAGTTTTATTCCAGGATGCAGTGATAAAATTCTAATACTTAATTTATATAATCTCTTAAATGTTTACTTATTTATTTGTATTTCTTTTTAAAGAATCAGGGTCTTACTATGTTGCCCAGGTTGGAATGGAATTCCTGGACCATCACTCTCTTGAGTGGCTGGGACTAGAAGCACGTGCTACCTTGCCCAGCTAAAATGTTTATTCTTTTTTTGTTTAATATATATTTTTTTATTTTTATAATATATATATTTTTTTTAATATATATATTTTTTATTTTAGGTTCTGGGGTACATGTGCAGAACATGCAGGATTGTTGCAGAGGTACATAAATGGCAATGTGATTTGCTGCCTCCACCCCCTGTCACCTATATCTGGCATTTCTCCCCAAGTTATCCCTCCCAACCTCCCTACCACTTGCTGTCCCTCCCCTAATCCCCGCCAACAGACCCCAGGGTGTGATGCTCCTCTCCTTGTGTCCATGTGTTCTCACTGTTCAACACCCACCTATGAGTGAGAACATGCGTTGTTTGATTTTCTGTTCTTGTGTTAGTTTGCTGAGCATGATGGTTTCCAGATTCACCCATGTCCCTACAAAGGACACGAACTCATCGCTTTTTATAGCTGCATAATATTCCATGGTACATATGTGCCGCATTTTCCTTGTCCAGTCTATCATGGATGGGCATTTGGGTTGGCTCCAGGTCTTTGCTATTGTAAACAGTGCCGCAATGAACACACGAGTGCTTGTGTCCTTATAACAGAACCAATGTTTATTCTTTCTGCAAATGTAACTTCGAAGTGTTGCATTAAGCAATGGTTCCTAATTGGTCCTAAAAAGTACTTAAGAAATGCAGTAAGTCAGCCCCAGAGGTCACCTAGCTGTGTGCTGTGCACCTGTGGCCAAGTGACCCAACTCCTTCATCTCCATTCCCTCCTCTGCAAAATGGAAATGATCCTAGCACTGATTTGGGGGTCTGCTATAAGAATATTGTATATCCAGTGTTGCACATAGCGCCTGGCATACAAAAAGCTCTAGGAAATGTAAGCTATTATTTTGAACAAATCAGCTACACAAACTAGCCTGATTATTGTGTCAAACTTAACATTTCATCTCAGACCACCACCCAAAGTTGTAATTAAAATAGTAGGCCAATAACTAGAAACACCTGTCACCAGGTAATAAGGTATCCAGAAAAACAAACAATTATTTCATCAGGGAAACAGCCAGGTGCTCCAGAGGCACCTGAAGGGTAGGCTGGGTTTCCTAAAAGTTCACCTACTCATGCAAAAACAGAAAGTTATATTACTTAATCAGCAACATCTAGATGATAAGACATGAACATTCCTTCCCTATCAATTATTTTAAAGAAAATAAATAGACCAGGCGCAGTGGCTCACGTCTGTAATCCTAGCACTTTGGGAGCCCAAAGCGGGCAGATAATGAGGTCAAGAGATGGAGACCATC